CACACACACACACACACACACACACACACACGCACACCACGCACACACACACATCTTTGAAGCAATGGCTAACATACTGCACACACAAATAATTCTCTCATATATTTTTGAGGTTTTGGTCGATGAATGGCACCAATAGATGATTCTCTTCCTCTCATAATTTTAAAGTATCGGCCGGCAAACTGAACACACAAATGCTTGACATCTCATTTCATCTCATGTTCTTTTTTAAACAGTGTTGTTGAGTTGGTGACGACTGCCAATACAAAGTTCGACAAACTAGATATGATAAGAAAGGGATGATTTGCAAAATCAAACTTCACTCTGTGCTCAGTCACCAGCTCTGTTGCGCCCCCATCCTCTTCTGGTCCCTTTCTCCCTCCCTCTCTCTCAAGCCTTATATGTCTGCCACGGGCGAAGCCACAGCCGGCAACAACTCAAATTTTTGAAGAGTGTTCACTGTTTAGTGTTGTTGAGTTGCTGACAGCTGCCGACAAAGTTGAGCAAGGTACAGCAAAGTCGAAGACCAAGTCCACCAAATTGGACAAAGTTGATGATTTCTGGCGACCAAAACTCGTAAACTCCATACAGCAGCGTAGGTGTCGTAGGCATTGTCAGTGGGTAACCTTTCGGATAGTTTTTTTTTTGTTTTTTTTTTTCGCAACCCCTTCTATTCTGGGGGGGCGTCAGAGGGGTTAGACTTCTCTTATGAATGATACAAGATTTTCAGTTCTTTGTCTAGTTTTTTTTTCGAATTGGTTTAGAACTTACAAGGCCTTGCATGTGATGGGACGCTCGACCCCGTTTCCAGCAAGAGCTGAAGCTGGGTAAGGGTGGCCCCAGTTTACCGGGTTGTGATGTCTAGGAATTCCCTGCCTCTGATGTTTCACCTTTGCATTTTTCACAAGGCTTTTCTGCCTTTTCCGTGGGTTGAAGACCTTCACTGCCTTCCAGCACCTCATGAAGAGAAATGTGAGAATGTAAACAAACCTTCGAACTCCGCCGCCACTAGAAACACAGCGGCGATTTGACACGCCATAAGCATATGGTCGGCGAAAGAGAGAAATGCCTGAAGGGGAAGAGTTGGAGAACCCTGGGAGGTGCACCATCAAAAAAAAATAAAGGTTCACAACTTCACGCGCAACAAGAGACGAAGAGAGAGGTTTGTACTTAGAAAAACTCAGAAAACTTTCAGAAAAGACGGACTACACAGAGGTCGGTCATGTCATCTCACAGGCGCAATAATAAATCAGTAATCCTCATATCATAGACAGACTCGGACAGAGGTGATAAGAAGTGCTTTTTTTTTTCTTTTCTTTTTTTTTTTTTGTTGTTGTTGTTGTTGTTGTTGTTGGTGGTGGTGGTGGTGACAAGAAGTTGACAGAGTGGGAGCACATGATTCAAAAACTCGTTTAGTATTTATAAACTAGTATCCTTACTAATTTACTATTACAAAACTGAAAATTATTATAAAAATTTATTGGCAATCATAGTGATATGCGGCCTGAGGAGCCCCCTCTTGGGGATTATCCTGCAGTGTGCCTGGGTGGGTGCTGCTAGCAAGCTTCCCAACTTGCAGAAGAATCCCTGAGGAAAGACCAAAGGGTAGGAGTGAGTTGAGCCGCAGCAACGCCCCCTTGTATAGGCGGCTCGAGCCACAAGGATAGGCTGACTTTCTTTTCTGTCTAATCTCCCCCATTGCTTGTTCCAAAAAACACATGCTTGCCGGTGATAAGCAACCGGTCTTACGCCCCCCAGAATAGAAGGGGCTGTGTTGTTTAAAATTAAAATAAAAAAAAGAGATTTTACTAGTTTAGAAGAAAGACAGCTTGGAATCACACTGTACAAGGAATCAGGGCTGTGATAGAGAAGATCAGGAGACGGGCGAATGAGAGGAGGGTTTCGGAGGGAGTGGAGAGGCCAAGGGATTATTATTAGGAGTTGGAACATTAACGGCCTGGGGAATGTCATAGATAGAGAAGAAAAATGGAATGACATTCTTAGCGGATTGACGGCAAACAACAAGTCACTGGCACATATTATATTGTTTCAAGAAACTCATCTTTCTTCCTCTCCGGAACACAACCGGATCAGAAAATTTATTGCAAGGAAGATGGGAGGTATAAGAGACGAAGCATGGGCAGCAGACATCAACTCAAACACGAAAGGTACAGCTATTTTGATCCCTAAATCATCCCGTTTCTATGCGGCAGGAAATGTCTTGAACAAAGAGGCAGACCTCCACAAAGGCAGATGGTGCTCCATGCACCTTAAATGGAAGGAAGAAGAGTTCTTCCTATACAGCATTTATGCTCCAAACGATGTAACTCAGAGAACATCCTTCGTAGCAAGCTTGAGTAGCGCTGTTCCGCCTCTAGTACCATGTATACTCGCGAGCGATTGGAATGCCACCCTCGACCCAGGAACAGACCGCATATCACGGTCCGCCCAGGCACCCAACTCACAGGAGGCCCGACCAATCCAAAACCTGATGATTGACCAAGGGTTGGTCGACCCCTTCAGGACCTTGCACCCAACAGAGAGAGCCTTCACCCTAGTCAAGAAGAACCATGCGCACCACACAGCTTTCTCACGGATAGACCACTTCTTGGTGTCAGGCACAATGATGGGAGCGGTGAAAGAGGCGAAGATCCTCCCCCTTGCACCCTACCCAGGGCTCGATCACAAGCCTGTTGAGCTCACTATATGTTTTGAGCAACAGGTAAGGAAAGGGGCAGGCTTTCATAAATTGAACAACTCCCTCCTGCTTAGTCAAACCTTCCAAGAAGGAATACAGGAAATCTGGTGTGCGAGAACCATGAGCCGTATACCTGACCAGGACCGATGGGAGTGGTTTGTAGAGAGCTACTCCTCGCTTGCAAAGGCAGCAGCTGGGATGTCAAGAAAGCTGGCCTCCATAAGGAAACAAAGAAAACAAAGCCTGGAGCGGGCGCTGAAGATAGCAGAATACAATTTGCGAGATGACCCGTCCTCAGCATTATATACGGGCATTTTCGAAAAAACAAGGGGAGAGCTCGCAATGTGGAAGTGGTGGGAACTAAAAGAACTGCAAGTAAGCGCCAGAATGTGCGAATACAATCTCAGTGAATCGATGACGAAACGTTTCTTTGCACATATCAAGGCAAACACAAGAACAAACACTATAGATAAGCTGAAAACCCTTACCAACCCCGCGAAGATGGTGGATACTAGTGAAGAAATCATGGAAATTGCTAAGGAATTCTATCAAGATTTATATCAGACTAGGACCCAAGCTCCTACCCCAAGTACTACGTCGGAAGCAAGGCAGAGGATGTTACAGTACCTGGAATGAACGATAGCGGTAGAGCAAGCGCAGACATGGACAAGCCCCTAACACAAGATGAGCTGCTGCAAGCCCTCAAGAGCATGAATAACGATCAGGCACCCGGCATCGATGGACAAACCAAGGAATTCTGGGAAAAATTCTGGCCGAGCCTAGGGGGGGACCTCTTGCACGTTTACAAGGATAGTTTTGAGAAAGGGGGCCTGGGTAATCTACTCAGCAGCAGTGTGGTCACACTACTATACAAGAAGGGAGATAAGGAGGACATCAGGAACTACAGGCCCATCTCCCTACTAACCCTTCCATACAAAATTCTGGCTAAGACCTTGGCCGCCACAATTATGAGAATAACTGATAAATGTTTCCACATCAACCAAACCGGCCTCGTCCCTGGACGCTGCATATTGGACAATGTACTGACTCTAAACGAAGCAGCTAGCAAAGTCAGAGAAAGAAGAATAAACACAGCCATTCTATTTTTCGATTTCGAGAAGGCCTACGACCAAGTTAATTGGGTGTTCATGGACGCAAGTATGGAACGTATGGGGCTGGGACCGATTTTTAGGCAATGGATTCAGATTTTATACAATGATGCCTCTGGATGCGTACAGATTAACAATTTCCTGTCCGACAGTTATCAGATATCACGCTCAGTCAGACAAGGGGACCCGCTCGCTCCCTCTATCTTCTTATTCGTGATGGAAGCCATTGCTTCCTTCCTGCGAAAAGACCCGTCTATTCATAAACTCCCAGAGGTCAATGTAGGGACGTCGCACCATCTCAAGTTCCCGACAGTAATAATGTTCGCAGACGACATGACGGTACTCATSAGGGCATCAGACTCGTCSTTTATGGCGCTGTCTAGGGCAATGGAAGCATTCAGACTGGCGTCGGAGGAACCAATCCCAAATCTCCAAGGACCGGAGGCGGAGATGTCCTCGGACACGCCAAAGACACCCACTCGTTACTTAGGTATTCTCATGACACGAGGGGGCCTGACGCCCCAGATGGCTCAGAAATATGCATGGGTCCGGTGGACCATCTCACGCCAAAATGTATAGATCATGCAACTTCGTCACTCTCAAAGAACTGTAGCCATCACTCTTAGACAAGGGTAGGAGAGAAGAATGCTGCATGACGCAGCTTATATTATCAAAATTATGTTTACAAAAAAATGCCAATGTTCCCTGAACTCAGACGCACTC